GCATATCATTTATGAACATCATAGCCCTTCATAAATTTTTAGCAAACCATTCATAGCCTACTTTTCATGTATGAACCATATGCTAGCACTAGTCTTTTCTTTAATGAACTCAACATACCTCTCCTTGATAGGGTCAATACGACTTGTTTAAGGCTCTCCTCTCTTTGGCTATTTTCTTTTCTCACTTTGCCTTTTTCCTTTTATGCTTCATCATTCAATTTTTTTTTTAATTTTTTGGCACTATGTGCTCTTTATGATGAAAGCATGCACATTGCCCCTATGGGACATTTTTGTGCTATTGAAATAGATCCCACAAAGGCTTTAGAGCTTTGCTCTTTTGTATTTGAAGTTGTGGCCTTTGTGGTATACCCTCCCCCAAACTTGGACAGTTGACAATGCCCTCATTGGCTATGTTGGTGGAAAGTGTGTATAAGGCAACAAGTGGCTATTATGAGAGTTATACATGAAAAATGGCCTAAATCATACCCCTTTGTGTGTGAGTGGAATTTTTCTCAAGAAAAGACACATGCTACTTCTAGCAAGAACACAACTAGTAAGTGAATGGCTATTTACCCTCAAATTTATTTAGGCTATGATATCAAGAATTATAAGCAATGATCATGTAATCAAGTACAAAAAATAAAACTAAAAATTAAGAAAACTATCCCAAGACTCAAATAAAAATGAAAGTTGGAAGCTAAAGATGAATGAATGAACCTGTCCTACTCTAAGGGAGTAGGCTGTGTGGCATGTGGTTCCATGGCTGCATCCATGGCTGCATCTTTGAGTTGTTGGTTCTTCTTCTTCAACCTCTTGTTCTCTTCTTTGAGGCTCTTCAGCCTCTTCTCCATTTTCTTCACCTTCTTGCTCACCATCTTCTCCATTTTCTGCTTCATTTCTTTCATATCTTTCGCTCATTGATGGTGAGGAACTATTATTACTAAGTTCCACCATCTCAGGTTCTGCATTTGGAGCCTTTACAGCCGCTCGTCGCCGGTTACTTCTTCGCACATGTACATTCGTCAGTGGTGGGTCTCGACCAGCCGGCCTTTTAACTCTTGCCATGGTTGTGATGGAGAAGATGAAAGATGAAAATGAGGGAGGAGAAATGGTGGAAAATAGTAAGTGACCAAGGGTGATGGCGGTTGGCTTGGGACGGTGATGGGAGTTGGTTTATAGAGTGATGGAGGGAGTGATGGAGGGAAAAATGGGGGTGATTGAAAGATTGGGTTAAGAAAGAAATAAATGATGGATTAAAGGGAGAGTAGTAGGTTTAGAGGGAGTATGACCGGTGGTTTCTTCACACAAGTACAACCAATTAATTTTTTTTTTCAAAAGCTCTCAATTAATGAGACATAACCCTTTCTTCTCATCTTTTAAAAAAAATATGACATACAAGACCCATGATTGAAAAGTTGGGTTAGGAGGGTACACATAGGTGATGTCATCTTGTAAAGAGTACCTTGTACCTTCTTCTACCCTTTTTGTACTTCTTTAAGACTCCTCCTTTGGCCTTTTCTTCACTCTTCTCCCTTCCTTCTTTTTAAAATATCAGGCGCCAAACCATTCTCAAACAACACCGAAAACAATCTTTTTCATGAAAATTTTAAAAATAAAGCCCAACCAACTTTTCCCATTTCACACAAAGCTGCAGGCCTAGAATGCTGCAGTATTATGAACAGCTCACCAATCTTTTATTAAAAAACACACTAAGCCTTGAAAACATTAAAACACAAACAACCTATGAAATTAAATTTATTTACAAACAAAGGTGGACTTTTAAGAAGTCCAAGGGGGATTTTTGAGACTTTTAGCAGGGAGCAGCACAGCTCTCAGAGTGTTGTTCTGAGACTGCTACCAGATCATGGTACACTTTTATCCTTTGGCCATTTACCTTGAAAATAGAATTATCTTCCGGGTTTACCAAGTCCACTGCTCCATAAGGATAAACTTTAGAAATAAGAAAAGGCCCAAACCATCTAGACTTAAGTTTTCCAGGGAATAACTTCAGTTTAGAATTAAATAAAAGCACATGCTGGCCTTCTCTTAATTCTCTGTACTGGATTCTATTATCATGCCATTTCTTTGTCTTTTCCTTATAAAGTTTGGCATTCTCATAAGACAACAGCCTATGTTCATCCAGTTCACATAGTTGTAACTTCCTTTTCTTTCCGGCTTCATTCAAAGATATATTGAGCTCTTTGATTTCCCAGTATGCTTTGTGCTCTAGTTCTAAAGACATATGGCAGGCTTTTCCATATAATAACTTGTATGGGGACATACCAATTGGTGTTTTTGGTTGGTCTATCATGAGGATTCTCTTATCTAGGAAGGTCTCTATAATGTCACCTCCCCCTATCTCAGGTTTCTCCAACCTAGATAATTGGTCTGCTACCTGATTCTCTACACCCTTCCTATCACGTATTTCCAAAATTTCAAAGGCTGACACCTCTAATGGCACAAAATGATTGCCTATTGCCTCTATTTCCTCAACAATTTTTTCTTCTAATTCCTCTACACTCTCTTCTTCCAACTTAAGGTTTTCCTGAATTCCTTCCTCAACAACCTCTTCTTGTATTTCAGTTATGCCCGAACACTCTTCCAGATAATCAGGATATTTTAAGGAGTTGAAGACATTAAATGTGACCTTTTGGTCTTGAAGCCTCATGGTCAACTCTCCTTTCTGGACATCTATCAAAGTTTTTCCGGTGGCTAAGAAAGGTCTTCCTAAAATAAACGGAATGTCCTTATCTGCCTCAAAGTCTAATATGATAAAATCTGCCAGAAGTATGAACTTATCAACCTGTACTAACACATCTTCTATCTTTCCTTTGGGGTATGCAATGGACTTATTTGCTAGCTGGAGTGTAACTATTGTAGGTCTAGCCTCTCCTATGCCTAAGGTGTTGAAAACAAACAAGGGCATAAGGTTAATACTAGCTCCTAATTCACATAAGGCTTTCCCTATCTCCTTTCTACCTATTGAACAAGGAATGGTAAAACTCCCTAGATCTTTAAGCTTAGGGGGTATGCTATTGGTCAAAAGCGCACTACATCCTTCAGAAAGAGCTACAGTCTCATACTCAGTCAACTTCTTTTTCTTGCTTAAGATGTCCTTCAGAAACTTAGCATAATTAGGCATTTGCTCAATTGCCTCAACAAGGGGTATGTTGATGTGCAATTCTTTGAACACATCCAAGAACTTCTTAAAATGCAATTCCTCTTTCTGATTCTTCAACCTTTGGGGGTAAGGAACATAAGGAGGGACTGGTTTTATCACATTCTTGCTTGAATGTGTTAAGCAAGATGGGTCTTGAATGCCTTGAGTGTTTGTGGTGCACTTTAGAGGTTCAGATGGAGTCTTAACATCAAGCTTAGGGGTCTCTAAAACCTCAGTCCCTTCTGATTTTTTTAAAACATCTTCTGGAAACAGTAAGGGATAGTCTAATCTAGGGGGGACAGAAGTGGTGGTCTCAGATGCTTGCTTCTCTAAAAGTTGGACCGGTCTTTCTTTGGCAGGGACCAATGTTGTAGCATCAGTTTTTTACAAAATTGGTTTACGATCTTTTTGCATGGCTTATGTCAATTCCTTCCCACTTCTCAAGGTCACTGCTTTCACATGTTCCTTTCCTAAGGCTCTCGATACTTCTGTGTTACTAGGCAAAGTACCAAGGATTGTATTGGTCTGATTAAGTGCAAGTTGACTGACTTGGGTTTCCAGATTTCTGATAGCAGCACGTTGTTGATTAAAAATAGATTGATTTTCAGAGTTTTGTTGGGTTATCAAAGATTGATTTTGAGCTTGAGCATGCGCAACTAACCCTTTTATCATTGCTTCCAAAGAAGATGATAAATCAGCCTGTGGAGGTGGCTTGTTTTGAAAAGGTGGTTGGGAATTCTAAAAACTTTGTTGGTGAGAGTTAGAACTGTTTCCATGATGTTGAGGTTGAAAATTAGAAGTTCCTTGTTGTTTAGGTGCGGGTGGATTTAAACATGGACTGGTCCAAGAAAAGTTCGGGTGTTGTCTCCAACTGGCATTATATAAGTTAGAGTAGGGATTAGATCTGTTTTGAACATAATTTACTGATGCAGAAGTATGAGTACAATGTTCATATGAATGATCCCCACCACAGCACACACATTGCACAGAGAGGACTCTTGGAACAGATGTGTTAGCAGCTTGTTGTACTCCCTGACCAGAAGTTAAATTTTTCAATAAATTGGTCATGGAGGTGAGCTGAGCTGTTAATGCAGTATATGCATCCACCTCATGTATTCCAGCAGTCTTTTCTGTGGCTGGGCACGTGGGTCAGCCCAATGCCCATTGTTTACTGATATCTTTTCTAGGATCTCATATCCCTCATTATAGGTACTGGCTGTAAAGGCTCCGCCTGCAGTCGCGTCGAGCATTTGTTTTTCCATGGGACTTAACCCATTGTAAAACGTCTCAAGTTGAATACAATACGGAATGCCATGGTGTGGGCATTTCCTTAACAGCTCTTTAAACCTTTCCCACGCGTTAGGAACAGCTTCATCATCCAGTTGTTTAAAAAGACAGATTTCGTTTCTGGACTTAACGTTCCTTGTTGGTGGAAAATATTTTCGCAAAATTTTTTCCGCCATGTTACTCCAAGACGGCACAGATCCCAGTGTTATAGAGTTAAACCATGCTTTTGCCCGATCCCGTAATGAAAAATGGAAATAAAGTGAGTCTGAGAGCGTCATTGGACACTCCCGGGATCAGGAAGGCATATGTGATTTCCATAAAAGACTTTAAATGAGAATATGGGTCCTCTGAGGGCAGTCCAACAAATTGGCCATTAGTCTGTAACATGTGAAACATTATCGGTTTTAGCTCGAAATGGAGAGCGGTCATATGTGGTCTAACTATCCCAGAATTTAATTGCTCAAAATTCGGGATACCATAATCCATGATCCTTCCATTTTTGGAATTTGCCAGATTAATGATGTTCGGAGTTTGTGCCCTTTGTTGCTCATTATGGTCCGATTCTGTGTCCAAATTATTATCATTAACCTGATGTGGGTTTCCTTGGTGAAAAATTGGGAACGGTGGTATTTGCCCAAAAATTGGTGGTTGGTTTCCAAATGTGGTACTTCCGGAATGTTGGGAGCAGGTAACTCCATGTTGGGAGGGAGTAGAGCCTGAAATGCTCTCTGAGCCCTCCTTCTATGGTGAATCGTTCTCTCAATGTCTGGATCAAATTCAAAAAATTCTCCGCGATGTGTTCTTGGCATACACCACTTTTCAAAAACAGGTACTAGAAAAATCAAATCTTTTACTTTACTCAAAAGAAAACTTTAAGCTTGCCTATCCCCGGCAGCGGAACCAAAAACTTGGTCGGTCAAATCCTTTACCTTTAGACTTAATGAATTGGGCCACAAAGCAAGTATACAAGACGGCCCAATGTCGTCTTTCCAAGTATTAAAGTGGTATAAGTACCGGAATATCGTCCACAGGGATTGGAGCAAAAG